TGGGGACCAGTGGGGAAGGGATCGTCTCCCTGTGTGGGGGAGAAAGGATGCCTCCTCCGGCCAGCTCGTGGGGCGGCTGGCGCACGGGCGGGCTCCCTCCCCACTATAGTTCCGAGTCCCTGGGTTTTGTGAAAGAATTTCAGTTCACCTTTAATTGTTGTCTACGATTTCCATATCCCAGTGTCTCTTTGCAGTTCTGCGAGTCTGCTCCAGAGTAGGTGCAGGTGGTCTGCATGTGGTTGTCTGTCCTCTTCACCCCTCACCCCGAGAGCCGAAAGTCAAGAGGTCAGCCCTAATCCGCCATTTTCTACAAGGACCCTGTTTGTTTGTTTTAAAGATAGGGTCTCATTCCATCTCCCAAGCTGAAATGCAGCAGCATGATCATAGCTCATTGCAACCTTGAAATCTTTGGTTCTAGTGATCCCATCCTCCTGCCTTAGCCTCCTGAGTAGCTGGAACTACAGCTGTATGCCACCACACCCGGATAATTTTTTTGAAAAGGTTTTTGCAGAGACAGGGTCTTACTATGTTGCGCAAGCTGGTTTTGAACTCCTGGCCCAAAGCAAACCTCCCACCTCGGCCTCTCAAAGTGCCGGGATTACAGGTATGAGCTACCACATCCAGCAAAAGATTTTTTTTTTTTTTTTGAGACAGAGTCTCGCTTGTTGACCAGGCTAGAGTGAGTGCCGTGGCGTCAGCCTAGCTCACAGCAACCTCAAACTCCTGGGCTCAAGCAATCCTGCTGCCTCAGCCTCCCAAGTAGCTGGGACTACAGGCATGCGCCACCATGCCCGGCTAATTTTCTATATATATTAGTTGGCCAATTAATTTCTTTCTATTTATAGTAGAGACGGGGTCTCGCTCTTGCTCAGGCTGGTTTCGAACTCCTGACCTCGAGCAATCCACCCGCCTCAGCCTCCCAGAGTGCTAGGATTACAGGCGTGAGCCACCGCGCCCGGCAAAAGAGTGATTTTGAATATTTGGTTTTTTAAATTATATTTTCCAAATTAATAATAAAACAACTAATATCTCACACTTTTGCTACTTCTATCTACACAGGAGGCTGAGAAATCCAATTGTTTAACTAGGTTATTTAATGGCCAGAATAAAATCATAATTATCTTAAAAGAAAAGAATGGATCTTAGAAAGTCAATTAGCAACCTCAATCTTTTCTTCCATACAAAGCACTGATCTATCCATACCCTAAGGGGACAACCCCAAAGTCCCAGATCTCTGAGTGATGTGGTAGTTTTCTTTTTGAAGATAGATTTGACTCATCATTTTGTGCAGTCATAAGTTAAACAATAAGTTATCTACCCCCAAAATATTCAATATTCGGGGTGGGCATCCCTAATCCAAGTCTAAAATCTGAAATGCTCAAAATCTAACACCACAGGTGGAAAATGTCTCATGTGACCTCATGTAATGGGGTCATAGTCAAAATGTATGTGTAAATAAACACAAAAGTTTATTCAACATCCCCAAGGCAAAAAAAAAAGACGCTCCCAGCCCCATCCACTGTGATGTAATTTTTAATGTATATGTCCAGATGTCCCCATGCGAGCCCACCTATGAAAGGCAATCAAATGGTATGTATGCAGGCCAAACACAACAATGGCAGGTTCCCCATAATGCCCCACACTGGGACCAAGACCTATATGCATTACTCATTGTGTTTTTCGCTTATTCTCTGTTCTGTGGCTTAAGGATATGGTTGAAAATGTCAAAAATACATGCAGATACCCTCATCGGTAACAGTGATAAGAAAAAGAGGGAGCACTTAAGTTTATTCATAGCACAGAAAGTCAAGCTGTTGGAGAAACTGGACAGCAGTGTAAGTGTGAAACATCTCACAGGAAAGCGTGGTGTGAGAATGACCACCATGTATGACCTGAAGAAACAGAAGGACCAATTATTGATGTTCTATGCTGAAAATGATGAACAGAAGTTAACTAAAAACATAAAAACACATAAAGCTAAAAATGAAGATTTCTATCATGTATTGAAAAAGCTGATACATCAGTGTAGTGTTGCAGTGAACACATGGCACTTCACAGTATATTGATCATGAAAAAGCAAAGATCCATCACAATGACCTGAAAATTTAAGGGAACTGCGACTATTCAGAAGGCTGGCATCAGAAATTTAAGAAAAGACACAGCATTAAATTTTAAAATATTTGTGGTGATTAAGCATCTGCTGATCACAAAGCAGAGGAGAAATTCATGGACAAGTTTGCCAAGGTCATTGATGATGAAAATCTGACACCAGAAGAAATCGATAGATGATGAAACAACACCATTTTAGAATTATTCCCCCAGAAGAACGCTTACTATAGCTGACGAGACAGGCCTTATAGAAATTAAGGATGCCAAGGACAGAATAAGTATACTGGGATGTGCTAATGCAACAAATATGTATATGTGTAAACTTTCTGTGATAGGCAAAATCTTACATACTTTCTGTTTTCAGAAAGTGAATTTCTCAGAAATTCATTATTATGCTTGTTTCACAAGGGACATATTTTCTGATTGGTTTCACAAACATTTTGTATAAGCAGCTTGCGCTCACTGCGGTGAAGGTGGACTAATGATGGCTGCAAGATTTTGTTGTTCCTTGACATCTGTTCTGTTCATCCTCCAGCTTAAATTCTCATCAAAAATTATGTTTATGAAAAAAATAATGTTTATGCCATGTACTTTCCTCCAAATGTAACCTCATTAATTCAGCCATGAGACTAGGTATCCTTACATCAATGAAAAGTAAATATAAAAACACTTTCTTGTAGTGAACAGAAGTGTGGATGTGAAAGTTTTTCAAAAGGAGTTTAGCTTGGAGAATATTATACATGCTGTTGCCAACACTTGAAACACAGTGACTAAAGACACAGTTGTGTATGGAGGGCACAACCTCCATGATACATCAGTCTGTGACTATGTTCAGATACTCCAGCCTGTGACTATGTTCAGTGAGGACAATAAATAAAATGATGACTTTGAAGGATTCTGCATATCAAGTGAAAAAAGAAAACAATGCCTAACTTCCTTACATAGGCAAAAAATATACCTCCAGTGTCTGTCAGTAAGCTAGAAGTGGATGTCAAAGAAGTTTTTAACATTGATAATAAGGCTTCAGTTATTCATTCATCCAATTGCTAAGATGGTGGGAAATAGGCCTTTCATGCAGAACTATTAACTATAGTTATTTTGGAAAATTTGGAACTACCTATTAAAATTAGAAGCACATATGCACTTAATGCTACAATCCTATTTACATGTTCTATTTTATAGAAATGCAAGCATTCACAATTGCAAAGATGTGGCATCAACTTATGTGCCCATCACTATATGTATTAACAAAAGGTAGTGTGTGTATATATACACACATATACACATACACACACCATGGAATATTACTCAGCCATGAAGAAAGATACTTAATGCCATTTGCAACAATTTGGATGGAGCTGGAGACCATTATCCTAAGTGAAATGTCTAATGAATGGAGAAACAAATGGCACATGGACTTGCTATTAAATTAGAACTCACTGATAAGCACACATGCATACAGAGGGTTGTAGAACTCAGGGGAAATCAAGCAAGGGGAAGAGGGGAGGAGGGGATGGGCAAAGCCCTACCTAATTGGTACAATTATCACTATGACCCTTACTCAAGAATGACAAAATTGATCCATGTAACCAAAAACATTTGCACCCCTGTAATATTTTGAAATAAAAAAACCCCTATAATTATGTCAAAAAACACAATATAAATATATATGTACAATGATATTTGTTTCACCATTGCTTATAGTGGCAGAAAATAATTCTAAAATGTAAATGTTATTCATGAGGGAATCACTGAATAAGTTTGGCACATTTACATTTTAGAATATCATGTAGCAACTTATAAGAGCAATGAAAGAAATTTGTATCAATTTACTTGGATCAAAGGTAAGGAGGATCCATGTATGTGACCTAGTATTATTGTGCAGAACCACAACACTGCTGAATTCATATGTATCTATTTATACATATTTGAAGAAAGGTTTGGGAACATATGTTCAGCTCATAATATTACTGTGTTTCTCCAAAAATAAGACCTACCCATAAAATAAGCCTTAGCAGGATTTCTAAGCATTTGCACAATATAAGCCCTACCCTGAAAATCAGACCTAGTGATGGGCGTGGCTACGCAGCACATCTGCACAACCCATGCATTTCCTCACAGAGCAGTAAAAAAGATGAGCAGCCCTTTTCATCTGCCCCATCGAGACAGCTACTATCCCAGATGTGACTAGAAAGGTGCGGCAGCCCCACCTAGATCGGCTCCCCCTGTCAAGTCCCAGACATCCTGTGCGTGCTGCAGGCTGGGGCTTTGAGGGGAAAGTCTCCTCAGTGAAGTGAGGAGAGGGACGCTCCGCTTTAGGTAGTGTGTGTCCCCGGGGGAAGAAGGAAAGCTGTGGCTGCTATTTTAGTCAGCACCATGGGCCTCTCTCACCCCCACAAACACCAGGGGACAGGGGGAAAGCTTCAGCAAGCAGTCTCCTGCTGAGCCCAGAAATCATTTCTTCTCCACTGTGCAGATTGGACCCAGTGCTCACTGCATCTCTGATAAATAAGCCAGCCCTGCTCATTTAATGAGAGCTTTGTTGCTCGACATGAGAGATTGGGGCCGATGGCTCTAAAGGAAATAGTCACAAGAAATTCAGGATGGAATTTGGGGTTTGGAGAGTGATGATGGTGTTCCAGAAGAAGATGACTTAACTATAGTTGAATAAATGTAGATTGTTGTACTGTACTTAAAAAAAATAACACATCCCTGAAAATAAGCCCTAGGGTGTCTTCTTGAGGAAAAATAAATATAATACCCTGTCTTATTTTCGGGGAAACACAGTAGTTGTTTGGAGGAGGAAGCCCATAGGTTTGAAAAGATTGGTAAATAGAGACAATGGGAATATAGTATAAAGTTTATTTCATATATTACAGTGATTCTTTTACCTTTATATGTGAATTTTTTAGTTGTTCTGGTCACAGCAGGCAGAATATTCGTAAATTCTGCAGCTTTTTGCTTTAAGGTCACAGTTTTTGGATGTCCTAAAAAATTGAGAACAGTGTTGTTAAATTATACAACAAATTAATTAATTTCCACTTTTACAATGTTAGCGTCGAGCCTAGCTCACAGCAACCTCAAACTCCTGGGCTCGAGCGATCCTTCTGCCTCAGCCTCCCTGGTACTGGGACTACAGGCATGTGCCACCATGCCCGGCTAATTTTTTATATATATATCAGTTGGCCAATTGATTTCTTTCTATTTATAGTAGAGACGGGGTCTCGCTCTTGCTCAGGCTGGTTTTGAACTCCTGACCTTGAGCAATCCACCCGCCTCGGCCTCCCAAGAGCTAGGATTACAGGCGTGAGCCACAGCGCCCGGCCTAAAATGAATCTTAATCCACTTCTAAAGCACAGCCTCCTTATAACTTGTTCCCAGTAATTTAAATAAAGCAGATTAACTGACAAATAATTTCTGAGTTTTTTCTTGTCTGATATCTGGTATTTATAAGAGTGTATTATAAAAGCACAAGTCAGGAAAAAAAGATTGGAAATATCATATACAAAAATGTTAAAGAGCGAGGCCTTTTATAGGTAAGGATAAAAGTGAGTTATTAAATTGTAAATTTTCAGAAAAGCTTTATCTATATATAAAACATTATATCTTTGTATATAAATAAGTTTATATAAAAATAAGTTTATAATAAGTTATAAATACAAAAATATAAAATATTACATAAAAATATAAAAATAAGTTTATAAGGAAAATAAAATATAAAATATAAATAAAATATAAAATATAATATAAAATATTTTATTAAATAAAATATAAAAATATTTTATTATTAAAATAATATAAATATATAAAAAATCATTTAATTTATTAAAATAAAAGTATAAAAATATTTTATTATTTTATTAAAATAAAATATAAAAATATAAAAATAAGTTTATAATGAAAAGTATAGGCCTAGAATTGAAGGAGAGATAATAGAGATGCTATTGTAAAGACACAAATTTTGAAAATGGTTAAAAAAACGATATAATATGTCCAGCCTCCAGGTGGTGCACTGAACCCATCGTGTAAGTACATACCCTTCCTCTCCTCCCCACTCCCCCCTGCCCACTTCCTGGCATAGTGGGGTGGGGGAGGGAGGCAGGGGCAAGATATGTAACCCTAACAATATCTGTACGCCCATAATATGAAATAATAAAATAATTATAGACAACAGACATTTTCCTAGGGTTTGTTAATTTCTCATGTGGTGTTGTTATATGATCACATTAAGAATGAAATAGAATTTAATGAGCAACTAAAAAAAATATAAAACTTGGGTTTGTATCTACCCTGGTACCAATTTTTTTCTATTAATATTTCATTTTATAGTTTGAAATTTTGTTATAAATGGCTCAAATCCTTTGTGGATTGAAGAAAGATATAAATCAATAAAATGTAAAACTCAATTAAAAAAACTATATATCTTTGCCCACTTCTTCCCAAAAGAAAAAATAAAAAAAAATAAAAATAAAAAAACTATATAATAATAAAAAGAGTTTCAATATGTGGTCATTTGGAGAAAAATGCTGAAATAAAGAGCAGAATATGAGACATTTAGAAGGTACTTTTTCAAAGTTAGTGTGCAAAATGTGTTAAATTTTCTCAATATGTTTCTTGCACAGAAATGAAACATTCAACGCTTCCATTCCTGAAGGTAAGTGTTGGCTTGAAAAATGTATACCTGCCATTATTTTTAGATTCCAAGTCTTAATGACTTAATGAAAAAAATTAAAAATTATGATATTATTATTTCCATTAAATCTATAAAAGACCATTACTGCTGTCTAATTATGGAGTAAAAGTTTAGGTAATAGATTATTCAGACCATTTGTTCATTTTTATTCTCCTCCTGTTTGTTGTTTCTTTAGGCAATACGCAATATTACTGCTTATAATTAATATCTTCTTCAGAGAAAAGGCTTTGGCTTAGCAGAGAAAACCAAAATTATGGGTAAAACTAGGAGCTACATCAATGGAAAGCAGTTTTGTAGATAATATTAAGTAATAGGTTAACTCAAAATCAATTACATTTATCTAAAATATACTGAAAGATCACTGATATCAGCTTAAAAAGCTATAAACAACTAGGCCTTCCAATCAAAGAAAGCTTCCTTTTCAATCCTAGTCTATCTTGTCAACTTAATTTTTGCAGGATTTTGCTCCTTATTTTAAGTTTTCCTCTGTTATCACATATAATTTATGATCATTTTTATTTCTATCTCACTGAGGCAGAAAATAGATTTAACTCTCTTTTCTTGTATTTGTCTCTTCTTTCCCAGAATCAAGCCCAAATATCTTTTATTATTCTTAAGGGATTTTTTTCCTTTCATATTACAAGTAGTAAAAACAATAGAATAAAAGTAATATCTCAGTCAAGCTTCTCTATTTCTTATTGATTTTTCACTTAGAACCTTTGGATGGATAGAATATGGCATGTATATTTATTTTAGGTGTTAGAACATAACATATGGTTTATTTTCCTTTCCACCTACACTAATGTTGAATCTTTTCTATTGCATAATCTGCCTGGGATTGGACAAAAGAGGGACATATATATACATAATAAAAGGGGATATAAGCTGTGTTTATTATAGTAATCATCAAAACCTATCATAGTAAGAACAGAAAGGAAATGGAGTTCCAATTTAGTCATAATTGAAAAGGAGAAATGCTAGTGATACTACTTATCCACTAAGAATGAATATATGTTAAGTAAACTTAATTCAGAGTTTACTTTTTGCCAAACTGTTATATGACTACAGCTATTATAACTTGGTTATTTCCACTTAATTAAAGCTGTCTAAAAATACTAAAAATTACCTGAAGATACTCTATTTAGTAAAGGAAACTCGATGTGTTTAGAAATGGCTAAATCAGCCCTAGATGTTTTATAAATTGCTCTTGGAAGTTCAATTTCATAGGGTGAAACGTTCTCATAAGGTTCATCTATAAAAATTTAGAAAATATGTTAACTATAAAATGGACCATATCTGTAAGTATTTTTAATACTCACATAATACTTTGTTAATAAAAATGCAATTAAAATAATTTAAATAACCAAAATTAATTTTTGAGATCATTAATTCAATTAAGATAATAAGATAGATGTATATGTGTGTATGTGTATTTAGAAGGCTGGTTTTGGAAAGAAGATCAAAGTAATAAAAGTAAAATTAAAAAGTAACAAAGGCTACATATTGTAAGATTCCATTTATATGATACTCAGTGTAGGCAAACTTTACAGAGACAAAAAGTAGACTGGTAGTTTCCTAAAATTGGGGTATAAAAGGATTAGAGAATCATGGCTAAAGAGTGTGAGGGGTTCTTTTTCAGGTAATAAAAATGTTTCCAAATTGATCGTGGTGATGAAAGTCCAACTCTGTGAATGTACTAAAAGTCATTGAATTGTACTCTTTAAATGACTAAATTATATGGTATGTGAATTATATCACAATAAATATATTTACAAAGACTAACATCTGATATTTTATTAAAAATAATAAATGCCACAAATCAATCAGATGACACATTCAAAGTACTGAAAACTGACAACAAAAAATTTTACAGCAAAACTATCCTTCAGAAATAAAGATGGAGCTATTGTGAAAGGTATTGAGTCTTTGATTTGATTCTTAGCTTGACTGTTGTGTATAGAAATGCTACTGTTTGTGTACATTGATTTTGTAGCCTGAGACTTTGCTAAATTTATTTATCAATCCCAGCAGTCCCATGGCAGAATCTTTGGGGTTTTCTAGATATGAGATCATATCATCAGCAAAGAGCAATAATTTAACCTCCTCTTTCCCCAATTTGGATACCCTTAATTTGCTTCTCTTGCCTGATTATTCTGGCTAGGACTTCCAGCAGTATGTTGAATAGAAGTGACAATTGGCATCCTTGTCCAGTTCTGAGTGGGAATGCTTTCAACTATTCCCCATTCAGTATGAAGTTACCTGTGGTTTTGTTGTATATAGCTTTTATAATTTTGAGTAATGTTTCATTTATGCCTATTTTGTTAAGAGTTTTTATCATAAACAGGTGGTGAATTTTGTTGAATGCTTTTCTTGCATCTACTGAGACAATCATACAGTCTTTGTTTTTGCTTCTGTTTATATGGTGACTCATATTAATTGATTTACATATGTTGAACCATCCTTGCATCACTGGAATGAAACCCTATTTGGTTGTGGTGGATTATTTTTTTGGTGTGCTGTTGAATTCAGTTTGCTAGTATTTTACTGAGTATTTTTGCATCTACATTCATAAGCGATATTGGTCAGTAGTTGTCCTTTTTTGTTGTGTCCTTTCCTGGCTTTGGTATCAAGGTGATACTGGCTTCATAGAATGAGTTGGGAGGATTCCCTTGTTCTCAATGTTTTGGAATAATTACTACAGTATGCATACCAGATCTTCTTTGTATATCTGGTAAAAGTAGGCTTTAAATCCATCTAGTCTAAAGCCCTTTTTTGTTGTTGTTGGAAGATATATTTTTATTACTGCTTCTATTTTGCTGTTCATTATTTGTCTGTTGAGTTCCATTTCTTCCTGATTGAATATTGGGGGATTTTGCAGTTCTAGGAATTTGTACATTTCCTCTACATTTTCAGTTTATGTGCATAGAGATTTTCATAGTATTCACAGATGATATTTTGAATTTCTGTTGTATCTGTTGTAAGATCTCTTTTTCATTTCTGATTGAGCTATTTGAGTCCTTTCTCATCTATTCCTGGTTAACATACCTAGAGGTCTATCAATTTTATTTTATTTTCAAAGAACTAGCTTTTTGTTTCATTGACCCTGTGTGTGTGTGTGTGTGTGTGTGTGTGTGTGTGTGTGTGTATTTGGTCTGTTTTCCATTTGATTTACTTCTGCTCTGACCTTTGTTACTTTTTTTCTGCTGGCTTTGGGTTTGGTTTGCTCTTCCTTTTCTACTTCCTTGAGATGTGTCATTAGATTGTTAATTTGTGATCTTTCTGACTTTTTGATGT